TTTCTGCTCCCAGACCGTCCAGCCCGTGGGGCCTGGCCTCCCCACAACTCCTGGGGTGAAGGGCTCGGCCTCGGGCCTTGGGGGAAGTCGCTCCATGGCCTTGTGCTTCCATTTCCCTGTGAGTGAAACGTAAGATCCTATACGGTAGCTGGGAGGCTCCCGTGGACAGTATGCCCGGGCCCCCAGAACGACTTAGCGACTGAGAACACATATCGACGTTGGTATTGTTAGCTGTGGATGTGGGATGACCCTGACCTGGTAACGCTGTGACAGAGGACGGTCCACAAGTACCGTGAGTGGACGGGCAGCGCCCCCGTGGGAAGAGACTCTGGTTTACAGTCAGAGGTCGTAAATTCAAATTCCGTTACTGCCATTCCTAGCTGTGTGACGCCGGGCAAACTGATTCACCTCTCTGAGCCAAATGGGGAAAACAACGGGACGTGAGCCTCAAAGGAGATCATGTGTCGGCAAGAGCCTGGTACCCCGCCTGACACGAAGCACGACTCAGCAGGTGTTCTGTTGCTACCGCATTAAACTGGTATGAATATATGAGACTTCGAGAAAGGATGTGCCCCCGTGTGCTACACAAGCAGGGCTTGGTGCTTGACTGAGTGGCCAGGTCACTGAGTAGAAACCAGAAGGGTCGTAATAACACAGCATGAGGGCGGGCTGGGCCCACGAGGTGACTGTCCGGCTGGTGAAGAAATACCAGAGGCTGGGGGGGTCTGTGACATGGCATAAATAGACACCCCGGGAAACAGAAGACTCTGGGGGCAGAAGGAGCCCTGGGAGTGGGTCGGAGCAAAGCGATTTTGTAGAAGGCTCCGCCCGAAAATGAAGTCAGAGGTGCTGGCCCAGGGCGGTGGCCAACCCAGCGTCACGGTAGGACCGTAAAGACAGCCAAGGTCAGGGGAGGGCAGACGCAGGTCATAGCTTCTACCCTCTGAGCACGTGTCCCAGACTCTCCTCCCGAGGCCTCTGAAGGGCCATCTGCATTCTGCCTTCAACCTAGGGACAGCTCCCAAAGTCACGGCCTCCCTGCCTGCGAATCTAGTGCCGCACCTGGCCCGTGACTGGCGCAGGATGGGGGGCGGGGGCTTCTGGTCGGGCCGTGCCACCCTAGGCCGCGGAGTTCCTGGGGGACCTGAACCCACCCGGAGTGGGGGCCTCGGGTCTCAGGCCAGCATGGGGGCCCGTCACTGTCCCCACTGAGCCCTGGCTGGGGCCTGCGGGTCAGATGGATGGTCCTGACACCAGGCTCGAGGTGGCCACCGACTCCCCAGGTGGCCCTGCCGAGCCCCTTTCCCTCTCTGGGCCTCAGTCTCCCAGCTGCACAACGCGGTTGGGACGAGATGAGTGCTCTGAATCAGCGGCACGTCTCCCAGTCACCCGGGGAAACCATCCCACCAGACAGTCTCCCAGCTTCCTGTGAACCCCAGGCTTCTGGGAGACAGGCCCGGGGCTGGCGTGGGCCTTCCTCCCCCTGCTGGCCACACACATCGGCCCTCTCCTCCCACGTGGCTTCCGTGATCCCATGTGACATCCTCTCCTCCAGGCTCCCGCCTGCCCTCGTTGCCTCCAGCGGATCTGACCCGCTCGGCCGCCGCTGTGGCAGGGCCCCCTCTGGAGGGCACCTGCAGGCTCCCGGGGCCTTCTGGGGATACCGGCCCTGCAGGGGGAAGGCTCAGGCTCCCCGTGGTCATACTGGGCGGGGGCGCGACACTCTGTAGGTGGTCAGCTACCTACTGCATGCCACCTGGACCAGATCTGCCCGCAGACTCTGGTCCCCGAGAGGCAGAGAGGGGGCCTCCTCGGCCTCCGCCTTACCTGGCACCTTGGCGTCATTGCAGATTTCTGCAAACGGTCTGAAAGACGAGAGACAGGAGGTGGCGGTTAGAAAATGCGGTTTCCGCTCTTCTTTCTCAGCTGCTCCCCGCAGGTGGGCGACCCCTCTCATGAGACGCTGCCACCGCCGCTGGAGGGCCAGTCAGGTAAGACCCGGCTGAAAATGGCGAGCACCTGTCTGCAGGCAGACGATCGCCCCTGTGCGCCTGGTATCCTCGTCCAGAATTCGAGGGTGACGCTCGAGCGAGGGATCGGGACCGTGTGCCTAGATTTATCTAAGTGAATATTCATCACGGTGTCTTTTTTTTATCTCTTGATTTTTACTGTATTGATTATCTTACTTTGAGCATTATTATTTTGTTTTCCTTTTTTAAGAATTAAAACAAAAATTTTTTAAATATTTACTTATTTTGAGAGAGAGAGAGAGAGAGAGAG